TTTCTCTTCTTTCCTTCTGTGCTCCAAACCTGACTGTGCTGAAGCTGAAGTTGGTAAGTCAAAATCCAAAATCTGTATGAACTAAAGGAGGGGGAAAGATGTAATTCTAAATTTAGAATTATGATTATTATACTATAAGAACCCACACTGATTTTTTTTTTATTCTAGGCAATGTTTGGGGCCTTCAAATGTTTTTTGAGCTAGTCATTATGTAAGAGTGAGCAGAAAAATCTTGGAACTCAAATTCAGTGGTGGGAAAAGACTTCCAGGAAAGATTTAAAAAGATAGCTGGAGACTGAAAACTACTAGGTTTATGCCTAGGGTTTTTTCAATGTAAAAGAAACACCAAAATCATCCATACATAAAAGTCTCCTACTAACTCCGTTCTAGCAGACTTCCTAGAATGAACAACTTCTTCTTTACTTTCTCTAGAAAGAGACTTGTCCTCTCTTGTTCAATTTCTGCCAATTTGAGTCGTTAGAAATTTTCTTAGCATTGTTAGGTCACAGGGGCTGAGGCTTCAATCATTCCACAATTTTGAATTTTTCCCTTCAATTTCGCTCCAGGCTATGTTGGGGACCACGCATTCACAGTGACTAGTTTTCCATACTTCCCTAAGGAATAAAAGGAGGTTTGGGATTATTGGTATCACCCTTTTGAGATTTCCCATTATCTCATTATGGGTGTGCTACCCTCTCCCACCTCCTAAGACTAAGACTAAGGCCACTGAGACTAAGACTAAAACTAAGACTACTAAGACTAACGCTGCTCCAGGGCAACATCCTCACTAGTTTAAGATCACCACCACTCTCTGAGTCATCCAATAATCCCCTCACCATCTTCCTCAATCAATAAACATCAATGTTCTGGCTGCCTCGTGGCCTTTTGTTCCCCATGAACAACTGGTCATCCCGGATCCCCACTGCACTGCCATTTTGTCTCTTGCTGTTTCCCCATGAAATGTGCTGTAACACCTGGCAGGACCTCACTGCAGGGTTTGAGCTTATTTTTTTCTTGTAAGAATTAGATAAAAGTACATGAAATAAAAAATTCTAAGAATTATATATCTTTTGATATCTTCATTTTTCTCTCCTCAGCATTGTCTGTTCAACAAAAATGGGGCATATCCCAGTTTTTTCAGTAGGGAACATTTCCAGGTCAAATAAGGTATGGATTAAGGAACAGAGCTACTGAGTTCAGTTTTAACCAAACAGTAAGAACAAAAATAAAGTTCTAGTGGATTGAAAAGTGAATGGCAGATAAAGAAATGGACACTTGAATAACATTTCTGGGAGTGGGTTGCAGTAACCAAATGAAAGATTCAAAGCTGGGTGTGGTGGTGCACACCTGTAATCCCAGCATTTGGGAGGCGGAGGCAGGAGGATCACTGTGAGTCTGAGGTCAGCCTAAACTACATAGGGAATTCAAAGCTGGCCTGAACTATATAGCAAAAGCCTGTCTCAAAAGAAAGGTTCAGGGCTTTGGCAAGAACTAGATTGAATGAATACATTAATTTAAAGAACATATATAATGATTGCAGATTTAGCTTTTAAAAGTTTACTTCTTTTAAATGCTTATGACCATTGAAATAAGGTTTTAAAAAGTTGTATTTTACTATTCTATGTAACTCTTGTTTTTGCAGGGGGGTACTTGGAATCAAACTCAGGACCTTGTGCTTGCCAGGCAGGCACTTGATATAGCTGCTGAGCTATATCCCCAATCCCTCTGTAACTCTTGAAGTTTCAAGGAAACTTCATTTCTGCTTACACAACCATATTCCAGTGCAGAGCTATGATCTCTGCACCTTCTCAGAGTATACTCTGTACCATGAACCCCACATAGATTATACAATAGGGATAATGTAGACACATTATTCTATCCCAAAGTGGAAGCCTACCATATATGGAGTAATATATATGCATATATGCACAGGACAATGACTGACACAATCATATAATACATTATTTTCAAAGAGAATATTTCAGCTAACTAATGTGTCTGTTAAGGCTTGTATCTAAATGTCCCTCCAAAGCCTCATGAGCTCAAAAGTGGGGCTTTCCAGAGGTGGCTGGGCGTAGGGTGTGTGACACTGGGATTAAGGGTGTGTGGCACTGGATTTGTCCACTAACTCGTTTATCACAGTTCTGGGTGTAGATAATGAGAAGGACCACCCTGGGTGTGGGTGGCACCAACCAAAGGGTTGTAGCCTGGATGCATGAAAGGGAAAGGGAGGGTTGCTGCTCCACTGCCGCTTGCTGCCTCCTGCCTGCTGTGTCATGGAGTTTCTTTCCTGTGATGCCCCTCTGCCATGCTGTCCTGCCCTGGAGTCAGCCGACAATAGACCGAACCCTCTACAAAGTATGAATTGAAATAAACGTTTCCTTCTTTAATTTGTAGGTGATGGGTATTGTGGCTCAGCAACAAGAAAAGTAACTAAGACAACGTTATAGTAATAAAGATTTAAAACAAACTGGGCATATGCTAAATTACAAATTTTTTCCTTATTCTTTTCTGTCAAAATTATGTGTTGTGAAATCTTAACAAGCAACAAAGAAACTAGGTAAATGAGAGCTCTGAGTATTCTACCAGCCTTTCTGCTGCTTGAGTACTTTTGTTTTGGACAAGCAAGAATCATCATTATGAAAAGCCCTTCTGATAATTCCACTGCCATTCATATACCTGTTGATTAAAAGTATAAAAAAAGAATAGTTGACTAATAGCATAGTAGAAACATAAAAACATAACTTATCAGCCGGGGGTGGTGGTGCACACCTGTAATCCCAGCACTCAGGAGGCTGAGGCAGGAGGATCGTTGGGAATTTGAGACCATCCTGAGCTACAAAGTGAGCTCAAGGCCAGGCTGAACTGCACAGTGAGACCTTTTCTCAAAAACACAAAAATAAAAATAAAAACATAACTTCATTCTTAGGATTTTTATAACTACTTCAAAAAAAGGAACTTTTAAATGCTGTACTTCAAATTAAAAATGAGACATATTAAAAACAAAGCAGTTCCAGGCCAGCCTGGACTACAAAGGGAGCTCAAGTCCATCTTGAACTCCACAGCAAGGCCTTGTCT